AAAAAAAGGTTATCTGTGTTGTTGTGTACATCTTCTTCATTCCAGCAGGAATTATAATGAGAACAAAGAGGCTAATCAACCTTTGTCAGAGTAGGTGTGAGCAATATGGAGAACACTGGTGATGTCTATTGGGGAAAAAAACATACAACTCTCAGCTTCCAAATCAGTCATGTTGAACATTTTAATCTTTTTTAATTCATGAAAGAAGATTATGGAGGGGAGAGTGGTATTTAAGTAAAGTACGGTTTTCTGCRTGTTTTCTCTCAAGAAGGCAGAGTATTTGCTCTGGGCTGACCTGGGTTACCTTTTAACTGAGAAAATTTCGACCAGAATGGTTTGGCAGCTTCCAAAAGACTCCAAGGGAGGAAAACATGTGGGTGGTTTGCCCTTGGTAGAACCTCCTTGGCACCTTGTCTGGGAGGAGCTGTGGCGCTTCTGTTTGGAGCGACGGGGAGACTGGCAGGGTTTCCTTCTGGCAGGGATGTGCTTTTTGCCGTCCTCTTGGCAACCCACCCACGTTGGCCAGGCTCTGTGCCTTGCAGGCAGAAATTCACATCGAGCCCTGGCACTGCAGAGTTGCCTTGGACTTCAGACATCCTGCTGGGAAGGACTTCTCCATCATCACAGAAATGTTGGAACGGAGACTTTTGCAGCCTTCTAAGTACAAAGTCCTAGGAGGAGACATTCCCTTACAAAATCTTGATTGATAGTAATAACTGATATCACCCCTGCACAATGGTGTTTGAATCTGCAGTCATGGCTTTTGGTATTTTGCCTTGTGACAGCACAGGATCCGGATTCAAGCTGAAACTGCAGAAATCCCAAAATTTGCCTTTGGATTTTTGATTTTCATTTTGGGAAAATTTCTTCCCATTTCAGTGKGAAACACCACTTCAGTGATCGTGTCCAAGTTTATTTGCTACAAGTTTCCATAGTTAACATTTATTAGAATTTTTAATTTTTAATCTTAATCCTTGCTAAATCTCAGCCTTGCATTTGTCAATAATGCAAGATGACAATGAAAGCCACACCATCATCATCATCATCATCATCATCATCATCACCCCTACCAGCATGGGCCTGTTTCCATTCTCACCCATGGCAGGAGATGCTTTTACTCCACTGCTGGTGTTTCATGAGACCTTGCTGTGAATTATTCAGGAGCTTTCTGAACGTCTGTGCTCTGAGCTGCAGGATGCTGACAAAGGACCTCACGCTCTTCAAAGAACTTTTGTCTGTCCATCAGCATCTCAGTTCTGCTCTGCCCTGAGTTGCCTTTGATCAGCTGCTCTTCATCTGGTACCTCTCAGTGGTGYTGCTGCCTCTGCAGTTGTGCTGTGGTCACGTATGATGGTGATGGGGAAGAATAAAGCCATCAAGACACTTTCTAAAAGGAAATCAGACATTTCTGCAGGTGCACATGCCTGCTCCATCTTTCAGCCCTGCTCGGTGCTTTGTGAAAATGAGCCCTGTGAATCTTGTGRCTCTTTCAAAGGAGTTTTAAAAGCRGCAAAACTGTTTCAGTTGCAAAGTAGGCAACAATTGCAAATAAGGCTGACAACAAAATAATCTACAAAGAAATTATTTCAGTCTGAGAGAGCAATCTAGGAAAGGCTTCCTTTGAATTTTCTTGAAAGCAGCAAGTGATACAAGCAGAACATTGATGAAATAATGTATTCGCAAGGTCTCACATTACCAAGGGAAAATGAACCATTTTTGGTGGATGCTATGGAAGAGGCAGGATGATAGACTGGGACAAAAAGCCAAGGAATGAAGAAGTCCCAGGGCAAGAAAAGGGACAGAAGAGTCCATCAGTGGACAATGCACATGGAGAACTCACTGGAAGTGTTCAAGGCCAGGTTGGAYRGGGCTTGGAGCAGCCTGGTCTAGTGGRAYGTGTCCCTGTCCATGGCAGGGGCATTGATGGCAGATGATCTTTTAGGTCCTTTTCAASYTAAACCATTCTTTGATGACYCCAGTGTTGCTCTGACCTGGCAGAGAGCTGTGAATTCAGAATGGAGAGTTGTTGGTCCATGTAAATGATGACAATCATCCTAAAACTTTCTTGGGAATGCATTCTGATTTCATGGTAGAAGTGTGAGGATTGTATTTTAAACAMAACTTTATATTGAACAAGGAGGACAAAGAGGTACATTTTCTGAACTACTGCTTATTTCCTGAGCATCATCAGTCCTGAGATTGATTCAGGGGTTCTGTGGAATGAATGACATACAGTTGTGTATYTATAGATTTGTTATTACTTAGTGTAACATAATACACTGTACTGTGTGATATAATAATGCACTTACATAATCGAAACACACACACAGAGGTTAAATTAAGGCTACGTAGAGAATTAATTTTTAAACTCTGCATAGCAGCCTTAGTGTTCCTGTAATGCAGCATTTGGGGTATGATGTGGCCCACTGACAAGCACTGATCCTTTTTTCACTGCTGTCAGCACTGATACAGATACAAATTGAATCCATGGGGCTGCTCTTCCTGATATCTCCCAGATGTAGGTACTGAGCTCCTTTGGCTCCCTGGGGTTGTTTTCCTACGTTTCATTTGTCTTCTGTGCTCATGCACTTGGCCAGTTTTTCATTCAGCACTGAACTGCACAACTGTAGCTTGGGTTCACTGTTACAGAATCTTAAGAAAAGTGTCAGGACAGTAAATGGGAGCAGAAGTTTTGCATTTCCAGAGGGAGGGAGGCCAGCAGGGATGGCCCTGGAGTCTTGCATTATGTTGAATTATTTCCTCTGTCCATTACAGAGGCACAAGTAACAGCTTGTATGAACCCAGCTCCATTCTCTCACTTGTTTTACAGCTTTTCTCTATTCTCAGCCATGTTTTCCTGTGCAGAAAGATCACATTTTTCCAAGATGCACGTAGCACAACTGGGCAGGCTTAACCCGTGAAGCAACTTCAGTTCTTGAGCATCTGTGGGAAAACGAGATGGAGTTTACACACACACAAAAAAAAAAAAAAAAAAAAAAGCTAAGAAGGAATGTTTCGCATTTCCAGCTTGTCCAGACGGATTCTTTGGGATTGACTGCCACCAGGTGTGCAAGTGCAAGAATGCTGCTGGCTGTGACCATGTTCAGGGATGGTGCCGCTGCCTGCCGGGCTGGCTGGGGGACACCTGCGAGCAGCGTACGTACACCCCTCTCCCAAACTGCCAAAATCCCCTGGGAATGCAGGATGGTGCCCTGCCAGGGTCCCATTTTAGATAGGTCACGTTCCTTCCCAAAGATGCCAAAAAAGGGAACGATTTTTGSTGGCTGTGTTAAATCATCGGCTTGTTTTTATTTTTTAACTCGGCAAACATGGTAAGCATCAAGTTTTAAATAGCAAAACTTTCTCCTGCCATATGACAGCTCTCTGCTTTTTATTTTTGTGTGGCATTAAGAGATTAAATGTTGTGTATCTGTTTCTGGTGTATCTCCTCTAATTATCAAGTGACAGATTTCAAATGTACAAAGTGAAAAAAATCAGAGATCGGACTATTTTGTTGTTTGAGCATGACAAAATAGTTTTTAAACTAATTATTAGGAAAGTCATTTGTTTTCAATAAATGTCAGCTTCCTAGATGTTCACAAGCATGGATTTTCCCACAATTTTTAAGCTAGCAAGGTACTTCATATATATATATATATATATATATATATGAAATTCTGAGAATTTTTTTCCCTGCATTTCATGGGAAATTAGGTGATTTTCTTTAGCTACATGGTTTTACAAATAGAGATTACTGAGCTATTTGCAAAGTTTACCAAATAAGTAGTTTTTTAAAAGATTTTCAGGTTTTAGCTTCTCAGTTTCCTTGTTTTCGTTTAGGATGATGTCATGGTCTGAGCTTCCTTTTGAAAATATGAGAGCTGTCTGCAGGGCTGGGGGGTAGAGCTGGGCTCCAGGGCAGCTTCACAACGAGCCAGCTCTGTTAGGGAACACCTCTTTAATCCATAGATCRTGGCTTTCAGTGATAGAAAAGTGGTTTAATTTAGAAAATAGAAATGTGAGGCTTGTAGTGAGGCAATTCTGTTGCCCAGCCCTACACTTTTTTACCATCAGCCCTGTTTGAGGGCAGTGCTTGCACTTCATAATATTTTTCACTCATTTGCCCCTGCCACTCAACACAGCTCATCTTCTGAGAAGGCTTTTCCTGCAAAATGCCTGCTCTTCTGATTTACAGCTGGGTCAGTTCTGSTGAATCTTCACAATTTTAGACATTTTTGCTAAAATCTCACCACTGCAGTCCCTTTTGYTTCCTCATGCCCTCCCATAAGATCACCTGGCTCTCTCCCCCCACCCCCCGAAGCAGGGAGTAGATTTTTTTGAGTGTAGATTGATGGAGTGGCCACAGAATAAAAGCAGACCAGTGCCACTTACCCATCCCACAGAGCAGAGGAGATGCTGCTCAACAGGTACAGTGTTTGCTTCTTGGTCACAGCCCATTTTTCCTGTCAAGCCACAGTGTTGGCAAAGTATCACCTTGTCCCTTCCTTAGCCTGCATTAGAGATGGGAAGCTTTGTTACGTATTTCATTAAATTCAATTAAGAAATGCAGCTCCTTGTCCATGGCCTCTGGTACCCGCCTCTACTCACATTAGGTAAAATCCCCTATTTATTACTTGTGCCAGAGCCATTAGAGCTTTGTGCTGGGTTGATTTATTCCTCTGCTGGTGAAGATACCAAAGCCTCTGAGGCCTCTGTGAGTGAAAGACAGAGGTCAGGCAATAGAGCAGAGTGGCTTCTTCTTTTCTCTTGGCTAAGTAAGTGATGGATCTTCATTTTGATTTTACAGCTGGGCCTTGTCCATGCTGATCCAGAGCTGCTGAGAGCAAGGCAGACATGGGTGGGAGACTGCTGAGTCCTCTCTATCCATCCCCATCCTCACRGGGTGTTTAATATTCACCTGGCCTGTTCCTATTCCTGGGACTTGCCAGCTCCAGCAGCTGCAAGGACAGCGCTGTGTGGAAGTAATCAGATTGCAGGCAATGTGCTGGAGGATATTGAGGAATAATTTTRGCACCATGGGATTTGAATTGATCCTAAGCCAGCCACGCAGTGAATTTTATACTCTGCTATCTAATTACAGGCAGTATGGACAGTGATGCCTTTTGTTGAAGCTGCTTTCCATTACCAGGCCGTGGGTTTCAGTTGTTTGAAAATGAATTATGTTAATCTGGGGTGAAATCTGCCAAGCAAGATCTGTCTCGGCTTCAGTTTGTGCTTGGAGATTTCTTTTTTTGAGTGTCCACCTGAGGTATTTTAGATTTCCAAGAAAGAGGCTTAGGAAAARTATGTTGCCTATTTTATTTGGGTTTTTTTTTAAGATAAACTGTTTCATGAGTGCTGAGATATCTCAGTGATACAGGGGAGCTGACATTTGGCATTTCTTTGTGACAGAGAAGTAATTTTSCTTTCTGGAKTCTCCATCCCTGGAAGTGTTCAAGGGCAGGCTGGATGGGAGGAGCAACCTGATCTGGTAGTGGCATCCCTGTTCTTGACAGAAGGGTTGGAACTTGATGATCTTCAGGATCTCTTCCAGCCCRAAACATTCTATGATTCWCYGCAAATTCATCCAAAGTTTGCAAACTTTAAAAAACCCAACCAAAACCTCCAAAAATCTTATGTTGCATATGTTCTGTAGCAGATATGTGCAATTCAACATCTGAATTTTGGCTTAATTCTAACAGTACTAAACATGCYTCTTTCTGGAGCTGTTTGGGCTCAGCAGAATCTTCACTGAAGTGGCTCCTTGTGGTAAAAAAGAGACCACACTGGTTTGAAAAATAAATGACTACAAAAAAATTTACTCTGCCAGAAGCACTGATAACAGGGGTTYGACATTTCATGGTGTGTAAGCACTTGACTTTGCAAATTCCCTGTTCTTTTAAAGCTAAAGCTTCATTTTGTGGAAGATAATCCACAGGAGTTACATGAAAACAGAGCTGCTGGACACCCTGTAGAACCTTAGAGCCCATCATTTCCCTTTACTCTTGGGCACTTTTGGTGGCTATTGACTTCTAGTTGGAAGAAAAGGTCTCTAGTTTCACATGTTTCTTACTCTGCGTGCAAAGAAGGCATTTTAAAAACTGCAAACCAATAAATCCTCCTCTTGCAGAGGAAAGGAAGCAAGAGGAAAATTTTGAACCAGGAAGAATTTACTAATTTAAATTTTTGGATTGAGTCTTCTGTTTTTACTTGTCATGAAGCAAGAGGAAAAGGCCCAGGGATATTTGTACAAGAGGTTGTGGAACCTTCATGAAGTAGCTTCAATATATCACTTTTTTTTCTTAATCTTCAGAAAAGTACTTCGATAATCAGGATTGTCCCACCAGGAAGCAAAAAAACATTTGTTTCTACCCAGTAGAATAGTTAAAATTTTCTTGTCCAGAAATTTCTCCTTCCTCACCAGAATTTTCACTGAAACGCTCTATTGTCTTTTTGGTAAATGTAACAAGATCTTTGCACACATACCCCAAAAACCTCACACAAACCACTGGTAACCAGTCAGGGGATCTGGTGATGAGCTGGTTTTTCCTTTGGCTGGGTTGTGCTATAGTTCTGGTCTGTATTGTGGAAATACTTAGTTCTGCTCCCAAAAACTGAGCCAGAGCTCTGTAGGATGTGCTGAATTTTCACTTGGCAACCAAGCTTCRTTTGCAGAGCAAACTTTGAGCTGTGATGGGACTGAGCTCCTGCTCTTTCTTGTGGTTTCACCGTGGATGGGGTCCAAGTGATGACAAGAATGAGCACTGTGGAAAAGAAGTCCTGGGAGAAACGGTGTCTGAGAACAAGGCTGGGAAGCTGGAAGCCCTCAGATGGGGAGAAAAGGCCTGAGAATGGGTCAGAGGCTGTCAGYCAAGTTCACCTCCAAGATCAAGATGGTTTCACACCTCCTTTCTGTCCCCAGGGACTTGTTCTYCCTCAGCACTGCATCATGTCCACTGACACCCTGAAGGACATGGAAGTTGGGGTGAAAATTCACTGTTTGGCTGTGAACCTGGGAGATGTCACATTCAATGAGTGCAGGGACACTCTCCTGGATCAGGAATCCAGGCTTTTTCTGCCTCTCCAGTGCATGCCAGAAGTGCTGCAGGGATCAGAGGCTCTCACAGGCACTGCAATGCAGAACAAAAACTGTGCAAGAAGGCAATCCACTCCAACAACACTCTGTATTATTTTGGATGATATCTGAAGAAACAGGAGAGCAGAACTGTCTATTTTCCACCATTCAAAGCTATCCAAATCTCCAGTGTAATGGAAACTGCAGGAATTTTATCACTGCCATTTTTCACGGGCAGCAGCACTGAAAGCAGAGYGTTTGCTTGCGAGATGACTGCGTTAAGTTTTCACCTGGGAGCCAGCTGCTTAACCAAACTCATTGAAAATATCACCCCTCTCTGACCAAAAAATGAGAGTCTGGGTGAGCAGAGGCATCCAGCTGTGAAAAATGAACACTGAAAACAATGAAGTTGTCAGTTCTCTTACCAGGATGCAAATAAATACCGGGGCTGTCAGGCCAGCGGTTCTGCTGGACCATTAGTTTAGCACAAAGACATTCCACAGAGCAGGGACTGACAGCTGATCCATCACCCCCAGTGAGCCAACCCCTCCATAAAAACCTCCTCAGAAYGGGCTGGGATACATATTTTTAAGCCACATTATTATGTTAGGCTTTCATAAGCCACATCATCTCTGACCTGTGAAGTGTTGCAGAGCAGTTTCACTTTATGTGATCTTAATTTGCAGAATGTTTTTTTAAAATGCCTTTCGCAGTTTATGTATTGGCTGATAATTGTGGTGGACTTGGAGGTGCTGAGTTAATGGTTGGACTTGATAATCTTAAAGGTCTTTTTGAACCTAAATGATTCTATTATTCTGTCTAGAGTCAGTTATGGTTGATATATGATTTTTTATATATATATATGTGTGTATATATATACATATATATATTTCCAGGAATGGTGAAGTCACAATTTCTTGAAGAGTTAAAAAAGTGAGTAGATATAACATTTTATTATTACATTTAAGGATAGGAGTATTTGGGATCAGAACAAAGGCTGGATGGATGGTTTTATGATTTTATATGGACTTAGGCACCCTAATGATGTGAAAAGTGTCATTGGMGCACAAGTCAAACCTCATTTCCCTGTCTATGGATTGTGTCTTGGGTTTGCTCTGGGCTGTGCCTCCTTGAATGCTTCCTGATGGGTTTTTATGGAATTCTGTCGTTGCAGCCTGCCAGGGGAACACCTATGGGCCAGACTGTAGGGACACTTGTCACTGTCACAACGGAGCTCGCTGCCACCACGTCACCGGGACCTGCCTTTGTGGCCCAGGCTGGAAAGGAGCCACCTGCCAAGAAGGTACAGTCGGAAATTCAAACCCCTGCCAATGGATTGTAGGAGGGGAAAATAAAACCTGTGTTTGGGGAGAGCTCAGTGGAGTTTTAACTCTCAGCTCATTGCCCCGTGTTGTCACTGGGTTTGTATCCGCAGTGACGTGAACRGGTCCATTAAATTAATCCATGGCACTGTGTTGGTGGATCCCAATGTGCACAGGCCAGAGGGGTGAAGCAGCCATAAACTGGAAAGAGAGCTGGTTTGGAAGGCTGATGAAGGGAGAAAAGCTCCATAAAACTCACAGTTATGATGCTGAAATGAAGCTCTGTTTCTTTTCCCTGGCCTGCTTTACAGTCCCATGCATGGCCTGATCCTCAGCATTTTCATGTGCTGTTCCAGACAGAGCCTAAATCCAGAACATGTGAAAGGCATCGAGCCTTGCAGCCCTGGCAGTCAGACCCATGCATGTGCCTCAAACMCAAGCCCAGCTCCATGGAGCCTTAAGAGGAGGCTGGCAAAGAAAGGCTGCTCTGTGGCTTGCACTGCACATCCTAATCCCTGCATTCCAGGCACTAGAAAATRTCTGTCCATCCCTGTTGCAAAAATCTCCTTGTTTTGTGCCTTCCCCACGAGGTCCCTGGGGTGTCAGCAGTACCGTGGAGCTGGGAGTGCTGCTGTGGATGCTCCTGGGTGAGCTGGGCTGTGGAGTCAGCATCTCCACTCACTGGAGCCCTTCAGCATCCCAAGAGGATTGTTAGGGCAAGGRGATGAAAGCTGGCAGGGGTAGAGAAATATATAAATTTAGTGTATTCCCCTTTCAAAACCTGACGTGAAGGATTTAAGCCTTTCCATGAAGGATTTAAACATTGGGAAGGCACCAAACTGTTCTTGATGACATCTGYAGCATGACCTGATTTTTTCTGTTTTATCCAAAGGCTGCAAATACAAAATCAAGGCAAAAGTTACAAAAGCTGTGTCAAACACTCCTTTTCTCTTTAAATACATGTTTGGGGATTTMTTTCCTCTTTGAAGTGAGGAGGTAGAATAATTGTGTGAAGCTGGGGGAACTATCCTCTGGTTTCTGTGCTTTTCCAAAGTTAGATCTTGCTCCTGTTACTGTCTTAAAGAGGCAGAGGTGTGTGGGGTTTGTGCCAAAAAAATGATTTTCTATCCATAGGAACTGGTTGTGATATGAATTAATGAATTTGCTTAATTAAAATCAGGTAAATGGTGAAATGTCATCAGCTGGCTATGGGCAGCAGGATAAATTAGAGAAGGAGCTGTGATTTTAAAAGGGCTGTACAAAGAAATTCTGAGAACAGGGAAATCAAAAACTTCACTCCCCAATGTTGAGAAAGCTGGAAGGAACCAAAAAGAAAGATTTTTGTAGGTATAAATAGAAAGCCTTAAGATTATTTGGTGGGTCACAGCTAGCTCTGTTCCCAGACCAGTTGTACACTGTTTGGAGTAATTCCTTTTCAATCATGTCCCCATTTCTGCTGGTTGTACCTCCCACAGCATCTTGCAGGGTGGGAAGGGCTGTAAGAGGGGAGAAGAGGTGTTTAACCCGTGTTCTCCTGCACTTCCTCATGGAATGCTTTCCCTGCCTCTTTTCACAGCCTGTCCTGCAGGGTGGTACGGAGCAGACTGCCTGCAGCGCTGCCTCTGCCACGGCCAGGCCACCTGTGACCCGGTGACYGGMGAGTGCCAMTGTCCCCAGGGCTGGACAGGGACAGCCTGTGAGCTGGGTGAGTGCCATCACCTCCTCCAGCACTCCAACACCTCCATTCAGTCACTCTGCAAGGAAATCCTGTTGTGGGGTCTGGTTTGAGACAACCTGGAGGAAAAGAGGAGGCAGAAGGATGGAGAGCATCAGGTTGAGAAAATTTGGGTTGTTTAGTCAGAGATGAGAAGGCTGAGACAGGGAGACATGATCTTGGTATTTGAACATATCCATGGTGTTRAAACTTGCTGGGCAGAGGAGAGGAATCATTTATTCCCTCTCCCTTGCGAGCAGGGGAGATAGGTAATGAACTCCATTTAAGAAGAAAAGGAGAAATCCTTAAATGGGAAAATTACATATTTCTAGAGAATTTTGCCAAGGAAGCCTTCAAATTTTCCTTCACTGAAGGTTCTTAGGGCTGGTTTAGGTAGCTCACCATACTGCAGATGCATGAGGGAATTCCTCCTGGGTTTGCTCCAGCCTGGCCCCCCATGAGTGTCCCCATCTCATTTCAGAGTGTGGGGACGGGCAGTTTGGAGAGGGCTGTGAGCAGAACTGCAGCTGCCAGCACGGTGTGTGTGACCTGCCCTCGGGGACATGCCTGTGCCGCGCCGGCTGGACCGGGGAGCGCTGCGATGTGGGTGAGGACAGCTCCTTCTGTCAGAGCTTCCTTTGAACCACCTGTTCTGCCAGTGTTCTGTTTTCTGTCTTAATTCTCYGATATTCTGCAAGCCAATCAGGGTTTATGCCCTCTCACCCCATCTCAGACCCACAGGCAGGTCTCTGCCCAGCCATGCCCTTGTCCAAATCGTTTCATCTCCTCCGCCTCCGTTCCCTGCCTAAGAAAATGAAAGTATTTCTCTGCYTTATGCACACAGGGAAGAGCACATGATTTTAAGGAGAATCTGCCAGATCAGCCCCCTGCTCCTGAGTGTCTGGGTCATTGAGGGGAGCTCAGCAAACTGGACTGTGACAGTTCAGATTTACAGATCTTGCATGTGACCCAGATTTGGCAAACTGTTGGGCATTCTTAGAGCCATCTGAATCCTGAAATAGGGATTCAGTCTCAAACACAGGTGACTTAAACATGCTTTCAGCTCAGCCACTGAGGTTCTGCATGTTCAGCAAGCCACAAGCAGCTTGCTGAGGTCTCCTGAGGTGGTGAGACTCAAAGCCTCAGCCACCAGTGCAACCTGTGAAGCCTTTGCAGTGCCCATTCCCCTTTCTCTTTGGTCACTTGGCAGGGCAGGAGTGGTGGAAGCAGTTTGTGGGCACAGTTCCCACTGCTCAAACATCTCTCCCTGCGTGCACAGTTGTGTCACAGCAAACAGCATCATCCTCTCTGCCGACTCTGTGTGGATTTATACTCCAAGCTATGACAAAGCCTTTGCAAACTTTCCTGTGCAGACTCATGAGCAGACAGCATTAAATGCTTTTAATATATTTAACATTTTCTCCTTCACTGGTATTTTCTGGCCACACAGTGTGCTAAATACACCTTACCACAGCTGAGAAGGATGCTAAATACACATCCCCACATTTGAGAAGGATGCTAAATACACCTTACCACAGTTGAAAAGGATGCTAAATACACATCCCCACAGTTGAGAAGGATGCTAAATACACCTTATCACAGTTGAGAAGGATGCTAAATACACATCCCCACAGTTGAGAAGGGTGCAGCAGTAGGTGCGATGTTGCTCTCTCTGCTTGCCCCCAGCGTGCCCTCCAGGATTTTTCGGCAAGCGCTGCGAGGAGCGGTGTGACTGCGCCCACGGCTGGTCCTGCCACCCCCAGACTGGAGCGTGTCACTGCCACAGGGGGTGGCGTGGGAGGCACTGTGACAAACGTGAGTGCGGGTTGGTGCGCGCGTTCCTCCCAAAGCCGAGCTCTGGGCCGTGGCCGGGTGATTTCACACCCGCGCTGTTCCGTGGGGGTGCTGGTGGGGATGGGGGCAGGGGGTGTCTCTGTCCCCCTCCTGCTGTCCCTGACAGGGTTGGTGTCCCCTGCAGCGTGCCTGCCAGGCCGCCACGGTGTGGGATGTGCCCAGCGGTGCCGCTGTCCCGCCGGACGGCCCTGCCATCACCTGACGGGTGCCTGCCGATGTCCCCCGGGATTCACCGGCCTCGCCTGCGAGAAGAGTGAGTTGGTTATCAGAGCACAAATACTTCCCCGGTCAGTGAATTAAGAAATTGAGTTCTTGGAGAAAAACCTGGTCGTGTGGTGGCTGAAGAGGGAGGAGACAACACCCTGCGTGTCCCTTGCCCGGGTGGTTTGGACAGCTCTGAGCTCTGCCAGGTGCACTTTGGGCTGCTGGGGTTTGCCCTGCTGGGGTTTGCAGCTTTTGGGCTGGCAGGGAGCAGCCAGGGGCTGAGCTGGACCCAGACAGGCTGAGGATGTGCCAGGGGCTGAGCTGGACCCAAGACAGGCTGAGGATGTGCCCACAGCCAGCAGCTCAGCTTCTGCTCTGCCCATGAGAGGCCATCCATTCCTGCTCTCAGAGCTCATGGAAAGGACATTACCTGCCTTTAGCAGATTTATTTAGCAGACAGGATCATGCCCATTGGTTCCCTAGAGCTGTCTCTGGGAGCAGGCTCCTGTTCTGACCCCATCTGCAGTACCCTGACCTGGTTCCTCCCCACAAAGCTCTCCCTGCGCCCTGCTACAGTGAAAGGAAAAACAACGATAAATAAGAATTGAAAAGATTGACACCRGTGTCCCATATCCTCCACCTAAGGGCTCTAAATGCTGACCCACAGCCAGGGCAGCTTAATGGAAATGAGATGTGAGAATTAAATGTGGAAGGTCCAGAACCTGTGGGCAACATGGTTGTCAGCAGGCTGAGTGAAACCTRTGGAGGTGTTGATGTCACAGCAGCTTTGCAAGTTTAAACTCTCTGCAAAAGGTAGAATGTCTTTATCCACACGCCTGGTCCCTTGGGAATTGTGCTGTTATTTTAGTCAATTTTACCTGACATTTCCCTATGATTTTTTTCCTAGTGACAAGAAAATTGTATCTGGCCCTTGACAGTTGGGCACAAATTGACTGAAGAAAACAAAATCAAGCAGTCAAGTAACCCCCAAGTAAATGTAATAAATCCAAAGTCCCGGAGGAGAGCGTCATTCCGTAGGCAGGGATTTTATTTAATAAATTCCAGCCTGCTCTTTGTTTGAGTGCTATATTTACCAAGACAAATTTAATTTGTTGGTTTACATTTCTTCTTCCCAAAGCTTGTCCAGCGGGCACGTACGGGCAGGACTGTCACGGAGTGTGCCAGTGCTCTGGGCAGAACCAGGAATGTCACCCTGTCACCGGCCACTGCTCCTGCAGCCCGGGCTACCACGGGTCCCACTGCCACCTCCGTGAGTATCCTTGGGGCTTGCTGCCTTCCTGACAGAGGGCTGAGTCCTGCAGGAGCATCTGCTGGGGCTTTGGGTTCATCTGTGTCAGTGCAGTGSTGRCTGAGAGAAGCAGAAGCTAATTWTATATATATAWAAATAAATTTATACTCTCTMTATATATACATTATATATTTAAACTATAAGTGTATATATCATATATGTGCTATAAATTATAGTATTAGAAATTAGAATGTAAGAAGTAAGCATGAGGTGGGTTAATTGACGCTAAAAATGTAGCTGAATTAATTTTTAATTTTTTWWAAATCTATAATTTTACTTTAAAAATATAATTAATTCAATCCTTTAAATTAATTTTTCAAATCCCCAGATTTACTGGCTAAATTCTTTCTAGTTTCATGYCACGCTAAAGAATATAAATTACAGATCGTTCTCTGCATTTGCATCTCCCAGCTACACCTGGGTATTGTGCAGCTCTCTCATTTCCAAACACCAAGCCCAAAATACTTCCCGAAATCTCTGCGTGCTCAAGTAAGGACAAATGGTTATGAGAAAACAACAAGCTGAAATTGGCAATAAATCTGAGTGATTCATAAAGTCCTTTCAGTTGCAGAGCCTTCTGAGGAACAATCAAATTAAACCAACTGTTACTCTGGATTGAAAAATGGTGACTAGTGTAGAGGACAAAATGCCAACTGGCCCAATGCTCCATCATAAAAAATATTCCCAGATCCACATGGCTCATGCCGGTACTTCAGGACATCTGTAAAGTTGTTTCTGGTGGAATGTGGCAACTGATAAGAAACATGTACCAAAGCAGCCAATAAAGGAGACAGTTAATTACCTTTTTATTTACAACTTTAATTTTGGTTTTACTCCATGGCTTGTAATAGTCTCATTTTAAGGAGAAAAAARGRAAARGRAAAAAAAAAAAGGCTGTTGTCTTTCTTGCTCAGTTTTTCTCCCTTTGGGGAGTGCTGATTTCCCTTTCTTGGGAATCCAGCTCAGCTCTGTTTGGTTTAATTGCTTTTTTCAGGTGACAATTTGGATACAAAACTCAGCTCTAACTTGTGCAGCTCTACTAAGGGTTAAACCAGTGTTTTATTCTTTGAGCAGAAATAGGAAAAAGACTCACTTTAGAGATGGACCTTTGTATTGCCACCATCTCATCACAAGTTATCCTTTAAAATATAAATTATAAATAAAACACAAAGGATTGATTGTCTCCTCCTTTGTGCATCAGTTTTTGCTGTAAGTGAGATCGAAATCTGGCCTTCAACATGGGGCTGGAGCCATCTGGATCCATTATACATTAGATTATAATAAATGTTATAGTAGAGCAGTAGTGGAGATCAACTATTTAACAGTATCATTTTAAAAGACTTAATCATGGTCAGCCTATTTCTTTTATGAAGCAATTTCTCAGTAGTCATTACCTGTGTGTGTGGCACTAAATCTCTACAGTTACAGTAAATGTCCTCGAACTTACTTAGATACTTCAGCTTTTATTTCGGAGTTTAAAAATTTAAAGCATTAACAATTACACTGAAGTTCTGATATAAAAGATATAAAAAGATTTATTGCAGAGTAAAATCCACATTTTGCTGCATTCAGAGGGGATTTTGCCACGGATTTCTGTGTCACTGGAATTAAATCTATGGAGCATGAGAAAGGAGATTTTGTCACATTGAGTTCTCTGAGATTCCAAAAATACACAGTGTCTTGCACCGCAAATGCTTAAACACAGGTTTGTTAGATATTTATTGGAGAAATAATGGAATGGTGGAAATTCACAGAAAAATATTCATCTATGTGAGTGGTTTTTTTTATGTTGTCCCCTGTGCCATTCTTAGCATTGCATAGACAGAAAAATAGAAGGAAAACAGATTAATCTGAGTTATTTTTAGGTTTAGGTCAGTGGAAGGAGAGATTGTGGGCCTGATTCTGGAGTGGCTGACTGAGAACCGAGGATGGCTCGCGTGACTTTGGTGGGAACACTCCAAGTTCCCTCTGTCCTCGCTGCAGGGAAAGCTGGGGCTGCTCCAGGGTGAAGAAGCTCTCGATAGAATATTAAAACCAGCACGGGGAGCCGCTCCCAAATGGGCTCTGCTCCAGTCAACATGTGGCTGGATGCTGCTGGAAACTGTTTCTGGCAACTGTTGCTGTATTTATAGTACAGCGAAAAAAAAAAAAGTTTCAAGAAAGTATCTATAAAAGGTGTAGTTGGCTGGGAAGTCAAATTTCCAGGAGCCAAGAGCAACGGGGCTTTCATGTTCTCAAATTTTGGAGTGAGGAGCTGAAACAGTCTCTTGGCAGGGTCCAGAGGAAGCAGACAAACGAGCAATAAGGTTCCCATCACTTGTCCATAACTTGGTGGATGAGTAGATGTACTTGTTAAAATGAATAAAAAGCAGTAAGTGGTGGTGAAATGATTTTAAAAAAGAAGGGATATTATGTTTCTGTGATATTGAGTGGGCTGGGGGCACCCGGAGCCARAAAGATCTCACCAGCTTCACCTTCAAGCTGTAGGTACAGGATGTGTCAGAAGGGATTATTTGACATTGCAATTAATAGCATTGGTCAGAAAAGCCTCAGTGTGTGCAATTGCTGTGAAAAGATTTAGGAGCTCTTGGTCATGACAAACCCACTCAAAGCAGAAGGAAAATCAGGAAATGAGGTGGAAATCTGGCTGCCACTCTTTTGTCCGCAGAAAAAATGTAAGTCAGAAGCACAGGAAACTGTTAAATTAGAAAATGTCTTTATGAGATAACTGGTGGTGCAAGAATAGCCTTCTTCACAAAGGCAAAGCCTGCTGAAATGGTGGGACATGGTGCAAATTGCCCTTGTTATCTGCATCAAAATTCTTCTGCAAACTGCTACCAGATGAGGTGACCTTGTTATTGATCATGTGCACGTTACAGTGGCTGGACTTGTCCTGAGTGTGCTGCTCCTGCTCCAACCTAAATACAGGAAATAACTGCAAGGGCAAATGGTTTGGTATGGAGGGAATTACCCCTTTCACTAATGGAGCAACTATTCCTAGCCTTGAGCTAAGGAATAACTGAAAGCCTTGCCAGGGGGGAGCAGCATGTTTGGGAGTGTGGGAGATGGAATAAAAAAGAAAAGCCAAATGATGACCAAAAGGAAAAAGAGAAGGAAAAGAGAAATTCACAGAGAGTAATTAAATCATAGAGTCTGGATGAGTCCTTAACTCCAAGTCTTGGTGGGAATTAAGGGGGTGTTGCAGGGCTCATTCCTTGATGCCAGGGCTTGCACATGAAACAGATTTGGCATCCTGGCAGATGAAAGCACTGATGACAGAGAATTCATTGCAAAGAATCCGTGATTGAGAAGGGCTAGGGAGAGTATCTGCGTGTTGTAAAAGTGTGTATCTGTTCAGTCCTGATGAGCTGCTACCCTGGTTTGAGCAGAAGCCAACRTTCAGTTTTATTTTAAAAGGCATCCCTTCAAAGCTTCCCCATAAGCTCTCCCTCGCTATTGAATAGTTCAGAAAAGCCAGAGGTTTCTCCAGCCACTCAGGCCAGGCTTTCGTGCCTTTAGGAAAGAGAAAATACATGAAGTTATTTATTCACAGATTGCAAGGGATCTGTTGCTTGGAGACGTGAGCAGACATGTTTTCAACCAGGTTTCCAAAGTAGCCATAGATTTTCCTTCTGCCAGGGAAGAGAAGGAAAGGGTGAGCAAAGAAATGACATTTAGAGGTAGCAGCACAAGTGGAACTGTTGGATGATGATCGTGCTGTTCAAGCACCAGCTACTTCTTCCAGCACAACAGAGAATTAGGAGAACAAKCTGCATATCCAGAGTTCAGTGGTGGCACACTGGAGGTCCAGTGGTGCCTGTGCCCAGCAGCTCTGCCCAGCTCTTTCCCTCATTTCCATCCTCCATCTCTCTAAAAATCAACCTGAAGACATGAGCTAAGCATGGCAGGTGCTTTTACATTTTCCTGATCTTTTATTCAGTGTCCCCCCCCCAAAATAATCTTTCCAAAAAGAAACCAGAAAAGTTCTTGTGACCTGAAATGCAACGAGCCCAGTAGCAACCTAACCTAATTGCTGGGGTTATTTTGTTTTAAAACAGGGTGTCCAGAAGGCACTTATGGTTCAAACTGCCAAAATCCCTGTGAATGCATGAACGGAGGCCGCTGTGACCCTGCATCAGGAACGTGTGATTGTGCTCTCGGCTTCATTGGAGCCAACTGCAGCAAAAGTAAGCCAACATTCATGTTCTGCTTCTGTCAAAACACAGCAAAGAGAAGCATTTGCATAAGAGCTTGTCAGTAGAAAAACAGACAGATYCCAGCTACCTCTTCCTTGAATTGTAAATCAGGATTCCAGCTTTGTAAAAAAATCTCTTGCAAAATATTTTCCCTCTCTTCTGCATGCATGGAAGCAAGGACACTCATCCCAGGATTACAACCTGCTTGCCCAAATTTATTTCTAGAGCCAGCTCAGCGTGAATTGCTCAAGTTCCTTCTTCCTGTCCAAAATTTCAAGGTTGAGAAATTATCTCAATATTTTGCTTCACACTATGGTGCCATTCATTTCAATAAATGGGAAAAAGTTCAAGTTTTGTCATGGTAAAACTGGTAAAGACTCCATGGCAACTCTACTGTTGCTTCTCTGTTTCAGAGCTAAATGGTGTGGCTGAATTTCTGTGCTGCTTTCAAAGCTCTGAAGTTCTCCTCAGCTTATTCACAGAAAGGCAATGTTTGAATGTTTGGCTGCCTGTGGCTTTGCTCTTCAGTGTTGGGCAGCATCAATACTAAGGAAGGAAATAGGATTTTAGCTGGAAGGATGAGCAGCTGATATTTCAGTTGTACATTCACTCTTCTGATAGGAAAGACAGTAAATATTCCACGTGAAATCATGGATTATATTTGTAACCTCAAGCAGTCTCAGAGGCTAAAGCAGTCGTGTCTTTAGGTGGGTTTTGGCTTCTTTGTTGATGCTTTAAATGGAATAAAAACAGAGCTGTGAGATTGTGCCTGTGTTGAAAATGAGGACTGGCACTGRGTACCCCGGGTGTTTAACAAATGCTGTGTCCCTTCAGCTTGCCCCGAGAGCCGATTTGGGAAGGACTGTGCCCAGTTGTGTGCCTGTGGCAGRGGTCAGTGTGACCCACGGACTGGCGAGTGCATCTGCAGCCCCGGCCACACGGGCCCCACCTGCCAGCAAGGTAACAGAGCGGGACCTGGGTCACTGTGCCAGGACTGACACCCTCAAACACCCAGCAAATCCCACTCAGTGCCAGATATTGTTCACAGCCACGTTCCCCGGGCACTGTGCTGATAACACAGCAGTTTGGGGCATTCAGCTCCTGTCCTTCCCCGCTCCATCACCCAGCCTAATTGTACCCACACCTCCCTGCCAGCCTCAGTGCCAAGGCACCAGGTTCTCTGAGAAACTGAGGGGATGTGCTGGGTCAGAGTGTTTGGGTGAAACTGATAATAGTCATGGTGTAATGTCCCACCACCCTAGGGAGACAYCTGTCATTTGGGATACATGCGGGGAGCGTGGGTTTGCATTTATTCCCTGTCACCTTCATCCTTTTCTTGGGGTGCTAATTTTGGGKTTTTTTCAAACTTTGTTAATTCTCTGTAGTGTGTCCCCAGGGACAGTACGGCCCCAGCTGCCACCTGGCCTGTACCTGTCAGAATGGTGGCATCTGTGACCACGTGGATGGCAACTGCACCTGCGGGCTCGGCTGGACAGGAAGGTCCTGTGAGAAAGGTGATGTCCTGCTCTGATGGCACTGGGTTTGGGCACTCAGGGGTTTGTAGACATTGTGTAAGGGGCTGTGTGTTGTATCACTGCAAAGAGCTTCACTCTTTATCTTTCCACTGAGAGTGTGAAATTATTGGAAAATTGAGTCTTGATCTCCACAGCAGTGTGGGTTTGAGTGTGCTGTGACTGGAAATCAAAGTCAGCTAATCAGGCATYCTTTTAGTAGAGATTGGATATGATGTTCCTGGAAGATCCTGTCTGGCATTTGCAGGGTTTGCATCTGATTATTTGGATGGCCACGCTCGTTTAAGTTCATCTGCCTGGATTCAAATTATCCCAGCAGTGGGAAGTTAACTTATTCAGAGATGATGCTGAGGTTAATTATATTGGCACAGTCCCTTTTGCATGACTTGGCTTTCAGTAATTTGAGACGTGTTGGGTTCTGTAAAAGCAGATAGCTCATTATACATGGAAAGACTGTCACTATGTGTGAAAAAGATCCTCCTGGTTTTATTAGGAATTGAAATAGTGTGAACTCCAATGATAACACGGAGGAGGAAAAGCTTCATGTTTTCTTTCACACTTTTTAAGTGCCTGAAAGAAAATATTGTTGTAGATAAAGAAAAAAAAAAAAAGAAAATATAATTTATGCCATTCACTACATGGCTTTACAACACATGGTGTGGGTTCAGCATCGAGTCTGTGAAGGGACAAATTGAAAAAGGCAGACTGTTACAAGTATGAGGAAATYGCTGTTCAGACATCTATACAATATAAAAGATTTCTCACCAAAGTATGTAAAAGCATCAGAGCTGGTGCAGAAATGCTGTGTCTTCACAACAATTATTCTGGAGTCTGCAGATTATTCTCCTGGTGCCATCTCTCAGCGATGCAATTGTCACATACGAGTTTTTGTGTGTGAGGTCAGTGATTATTATATTTTTGACTGTTGTTCTGTTTTCCTGTCCCTCTCCTGCCAGCAGAATGTCTCCCAGGGACGTATGGGCCCGGCTGCTCCTTGGAGTGCCCGTGCCAGCACAATGGCACCTGTGACAGATTCACAGGCTGCTGCCACTGCCCCGCGGGCTTCTACGGCCACTCCTGCCAGCACAGTAAGTGGAGGCACTTGGGGTGTTTGTGACAATTTTGGGGGCTTAGAGAAGTCAAGAAGCACCTCAGTGGTTCAGTTAAAACTTTGGGGATGTCCCAGATCACCCAGCTCCTTCCAGATCTTGCATGTCTCTGMTGCTGGGTRGTACAAGTTTAAAAGRCAYTGTTAGARTTAARKACAAATWTAATTTTTGTTGGATGYTGTGCAATGTAGCTGGGAATACAGAGGATTTTAATGGCGTGTGTGATTTTCTTAATGAACTTCCTTCATTTTAATTTTTCAGGGTGCCCCCTTGGATTTTATGGGCTGGGCTGTGTTCACACCTGTGCCTGTAAAAAYGGAGCGAGCTGTGATGCAGTGACAGGACAGTGTCTTTGTCCTTTGGGTTATCATGGTGTCCAATGTGAAAAAGGTAATGGTTCCCCTCTGATGGGAAAAAAAAACCCCAAAAAACCCAAAAATCAGAACCAACCAAAAAACAAAAAAAAAAAAAAAAAAAAAAAAAAAAAAAAAAAAAAAAAAAACCAAAAAAAAACCAAACCAAACCTAAACCAAAAAGAGCCCAAACCAAAAATAGAAAAAAAACAAAAACAGAACTCAAAAAACCTTCTATAATTATTCAAATATTTGTTGCGAGCCACTTCTTCCATATTTTGAGTTGAAGGAATATCCTGAAACATTGAATTTGGGACAGATTTCCTGTTTTACAGCTGGGTGTTCCCATTCCCTTATAAATTGACTAATCTGGTTCCGATTAATACAGTGAAAGTCCTGCTCTCCATGATGTCTTGCAGCAATGAGTTCCACATGCCATTTATTAAAAATAAGTCCCTTTTACTGATTCTAAATTTGCTTCTAAAACTCCAAATAAGATTATTAAATAGGTGCATGTCAGACCTGTTGAGTGTTACGGAGAAGTCTTCTGGAGAGTTCTAATTAAAAATAAAAATAAGTGCCAGCTACATTTCTGGGACAGATTTACAGATACCTTTGATAAGCTASATTAGACGACCCCAACAGAAGGAGAGCTCACATAAATATTATGCCCATTCCCCTGTGTTTGATTTGTCATTAAGCTTGGCATTTGCATCGACTTCAGCAGAAAGTTTATGAGCTTTCCTCTGAGACACCCTGGGRAAACTGCTCTGGGTTTAATGTCCATCTTGCCATTCAAATGTGCATCTAAAGGGTTTTTTTTTGCTGTCAGGCTGTGACAGGGGCTGGTTTGGTGAGMGATGCCAGCACCAGTGTGACTGTGGAGATGCTCCCTGTGATCCAGAGACTGGGAAGTGCCTTTGTCCCCCTGGGAAGACTGGAGACAAATGTGACACCGGTAAGGGCAATATTTGTAAGGGCTGGATTGTGTATAGTTAAACCACTCTGACCTGGTGGTTTCRGAATAGCTGTAAAAGGACATTTGCTGGTGTTCAAGAACACATTGTKTGCAGAAAATTGTTCCTTGGGGTTATCGACACCTTTATCAGCAGGCTTCTACCTCTTGATTTAATCAATATTTAAATTCATACACTGATAGGAAAACTGGTTATGGGTCAGCTGTAAAATGTCATTTGCCTTGAGTTTTGGAGAACACAGGCTGGGGAAGAATAGACCAAGAAGTTTTGSAGATGTAGTGGGTAAGACTCCAGAGGGTGCAGATGGGCTCCAAGAGCTCCAATTCCTKTGTGTTTTGTCAGACATTTGTGACCCTTTTCAGAGCAATGCAGCTCTGGGTTTGCTTTGCCTGGAAATGGGATCCCTACAGATGAGGTGGTGGAGCTGCAGCAGCTGTTCCTGCCCTGGGCTTCAACAGCAGCCCAGGAGCTTTAACCCAAATGTAATTCCCCCTTTGCAGCACAGGCACCTGCATTCTGTGTCAGCCCACAGGRGCAGAATTCTTCTGTAACAAGGATATAAAAATAAGTGAGAAACTTTTCCTGTAGGSAAAAGCAGCCCCACTGCTGTAGCCTGATGGGGTGGGTGCAGGACTGAGAGGCAGCAGTGGCAGATTCCTGAGCAAGTCTCTGGCCACAGTCGTGACTCTGATCATGGTTTAAGGCCAGGTTGGACGGGGCTTGGTGCAATCTGGTCTGGTGGAAAGGGTCCTGAGCCCATGGCTGGAACCAGGTGAGTTTAAAGATCCCTCTAACCCAGGCTGTTCTAGGATTCTGTGATTATGATGGAGCAGGTTTAGGGTAATCACTGCAGTAAAAGGATTWAAATGAATGATTAATTCATTCAGTGATTTAAATGAATGTAAGAAGACATTTGTGATCCYGGGGCTGTGACAAACAAGATAAAAGGAGTGAATATCCATGTGCTACTATGGAGCTTCACACCAGGAACCAGAGCCCTTTTGAGTCCCTGAAACAGTGGGGGAATATTATTTCTCATTTTGTTTTTGGATGGGGCCAGAAATAGATTTAAGCAGGCTGTTATTAATACAGAGTAACTGCAATGAGCTCAAGAGCCTGTGCAACCTGCAAAACTAAAATGGGAAATCATTGGATTCCCTYTGGGCACCGTCCTGTGGTCAGGAAATGAAGCCCCCAGTCTGCAGCATTGTCCCAGTGGGAACATGAGCCACCCTCACTGGCCACACAGCACTGGGTTCTGTGGCCTCTCCAGTAAAGTTTTAGGCAGAAGTGGAACGCAAGGGGGAAGCTCAGCACCAAAAATGGGAGTCGAGGTTTTTCCTCCTTGCAAACTCTGTGAGTCATTTTTATTTTTCTTAAATCAGCTAGGGTAGCCCCCATCYATGAAAAGCTGTTATGGGGTAGGTTTTATTTGCATTTTTATTTTCAATTAGGCTCAGTTCATCTGTGATATAACTGTGAGCAGCTGTGACTGTGCAGCAGCCATAAAGATAAAAGGCCTGATTTTAATTTGAACTCTGGTAAAGCACCCATTAAACAGGCAAAATGTTAATTAAAAAAAAAAAAAAAAGAGAGAGAGAGAATATAACAGACTTTTATGGCCGTTCTTTTTCTGTAGTAAATTAACATTGCAGACTTTCAAACAGATGTCTTAAATACACATTGTTATTAACATGAAAATGTGGTATTACATAAATTAAAATCAGGTCCAGAGGTGTTTGGAGAGACCTTTTCTCATAACATTTCCTAATTGAAAAGGCCAAACTCAGAGCACACGGGGCGAGTTCTCCCACGTGCTGGGACTGCAGCTGATGCAGGGCTCAGCAGGACTTGTTTTACCCTGGGGTGCTCGTGGGAGAAAGAAAATTCTCTGGTCACAGGGTTTTCCAGCGAGGTGAGGGGGAGAGGGCCATTGTTTGCTGTGTGTTTCACACCCTGCCTGGTGACCTGCTGCTCACTTTCCTCTCCTGCCTGTCCTCTGATGCATAAAAAATTGCAGTGAGGATTTACCAGCCGAGGTACGAAATGTTTTGCATTTGAAAGTGAGATTTTTTTAGCGAGTTTAATTTGCCAGGAGGCAGCAGAATTGTGCAATCAGAGCAAGGCATAAGAGTATCTATAAATTGSATTAATTTTCAGTGTCACACTCTGTGAGGGAAGGCTCGTGGCCAGCACACACTGAGAGCCCATCCATGCAGGAAAGAGAGGGGTAGGAGATAGTGTGGATTCAGGATACTGACAGCAACTTTCCTGAGCAGATCCCAAGATGTTTTGCTGGGCTGTCAACCCCCATTTTTACACCAGTAATGATTTCCATTCTGGGAAGCTCTTCAGGACAGCTGGGCTGCAGCTTGGGCAGAGCATGTGGCAGACGAAAAGCGACGATTTCCAAAATGTCATGTTTTAATGTTAACAGATGTAGGTGTCTAAGTAGCTTCCTGATCCCACAGAAGAGGGGGGACTCCCAGGAAGTGTTTCCCCTCTTTAAAACCCTCCTGTCCTTGCAGAGTGTGGCCCAGAGCGCTACGGTCCCGGCTGCTCCCTGCGGTGCCAGTGCGCCGGCCGATCCCGCTGCAATCCCTCCAACGGCAGCTGCTCCTGCCCAGCCCCCTGGATGGGGCCAACCTGCACACAAGGTAATGGGTTCCACAACCCCCTGCTTGTTTTTGGTAAAAAAAAAACCACCCGTGGTGTAGGGGAGCAGAGCGTTTGGGTGGGAGTGTCAGTCCGTTGGRTTGTTTGGATTATTTATCTTCCTGATAAAATAGGAAGCTTTCCCTCTSTACTCTCTCTCACTTGGGTAGTCTAATCACAATTCCTCCTTTAGTTTAGGAAAAACTTTGGGAGCCTCCTATTTGAGAGGTGTTTCAGTGTTTTGCCTGCTCTCTGCCTCTGCCAGGAGGCTGAGGTAACTCCCTCCTCCACCATCTCTTCAAGGCTACCATTTACTGAATTATTTCGGTGTAAATTGTATAATCTATATAATATTTCAGTATTAGGTTATATGGACCTGAAACCATGTTTCTACTTAATTCTCTAGGTGGCCCTCCAAAGCTTCCTTTTTATGAAGAACAAACTCAAGAAAAAGGGAGTATTTTTCCAAGAGCTCTACAACAGTAACATTTGGACTAATAAATGAACTGTTTTATATGCACAGACGGTATTTGAATTTGGATATGAAAACAGTTATTCAATTCAGCTTGAATTGTACTGAAGTATTCACACTTCTTATGGAAGACTACAGAGGCCRTTTAGTAGCTGGATCCTTTTAAAAAGTTGAATCTGTTTCATGTGCTCATTCCTAGCCTCTTGCCCCTCCATTAATCTACTCTGGACATTCYTTCTGATATTAATACAATCCATTGCTTGAAAGCCTGGACATGTTTTTAATCAGCCCAGCTCCAAAAAGCATCAGGATAAGCAGCGTGTAGCACATCGCTATGGAATGAGCCACACTCCATATCAGGGACTTTCTAAACCCACTTGACAACCAGCACCAAGTTTAAAGAGTGTTCCACAGATTATGAAGCCTCTACAGATMACATTGCACAGAAACTGGAGGGATTCATCGAGTTAATTCCATTTTGAATATCATTGTGTGTTCCAGAAGAAGTCCCTGATTTTAAACTYGCAGCTGAAGAAGAATCCGCCATAATCCTCAAAAAGCTGTTAATTTATTTAAAAGCATCTTGTGCATTTCTGGTATGGTTTGACTGATTGGAAGGTCTTTGTCTGAATTTGTCTTCTGAAGAGCATGGTATCTGCCAAAATCTCCGGCATTCTGTGTTCTCACATCTTACCAGATGAATTTCTCAGTGGTTTGTCAAGTCAAACTGCAGCATTTCTCATCAAACAATATTTGCTAATGCAGGAAAGGTTTTATCTTGAATGGAGAAAGCAGGCAGTAAGCAAGGAGAGATGCTTAATCTCTGGATTTTGTGCTTTTACTGCACAAGTTGGTTTTTTTTTTAATTAAGCCATTTTACAACAATTGTGATGCCATTCAACAGCAGCTGGTGGTCACTTGATAGAACAAAGACATTTYGGTGCTATTTTTGTCTGTTTAGACAGATTTTCCTTTGATATAGGTCTATGTTGTTATAAAGAAATTTATGCTCTGTATTTTAATAYTCTGAGTTAACCAGACTAAAATATTTCAGAGTGCCTCTTCATACCTCTCTTTAGGTTAGGAGTTACAAAATCTGTGTGGTAACCACTTGAGTCTGTATCAAAAGTGCACTTAAGAAGGGACATSAGAGCATCAAACACTCAGCATGGGCAGCTCCAGCTCTTGTGCTGACACCCCCTACACCCACCAGAGCAAACTGCAGCTCTGCAAGAGCGGATTTTTGTCTTGCAAGAGGCAAAATGACAATTGTTGATGGCAGTTTGGGATTTTCAAAGACGTTTGTTGTCGTGGTTGGGTGAGRGATGAGTTGGCGAAGCAGGATCCAGGAGGTTGGAGGGGAAGCTGAGGTCACAATTTTCCCCCATGGTTCACCCCARGTCTTGAACACATCTGGAGTCAACAGCTGTCCAGGCCAAAGCAAGGGGCACTTGCTTCCCTGGGAGTTTGTTTCACACTGGGATTTGTGGAAAGCAGTACAGTGTTGAGAGACATTTTCCAAGCKTCATGGGAATTCTTATTGTTGTTACTCATCACTTTATAGGTATTGAAAGTAAAGGTATTTGTGAATRTGTCAAAATTAATTAACTAACTGTGCTTTCAGCCAGAAAATCACTGGGGCTGATGCTGATCCCTTTTAATTTTTTTCTGTAGAGCTCATTGAATGTCACTGGGAAGTTCATTCAATGTAAATGTGACAAAATTATGGTCCCAGAAGTGTGTGACTTTSAGCAAGGCAATGACATTGTAAATGTTCTTTTGGAGGTGTGATGACCTGGGTCTGATCCTATAATTATGTGAATTTGGGGCAATTTCACTGAACTGGAACTGAGAAGGTAAATCTCCTGTGAGACAATGRGATACAATATTAGCAACTGGTGGTGAAGAACAATTCAATTTGAGCAGTTGACCTATTTTGATCTTAACTCTGTATTTACTGCAGAGCCAGACTGCAGTGGCAGTGCAAGTGTCACACTGTACTCAAGATTTTTTGTAGAATCACCGAGTAAGTAAAGTAGAAAACCTCTGAAGGTCCAAACTTCCCTTTAAAACCTGGGTTTGCTCAGAGATTCATCCTGCTCAGTTCTGAATATCYCCAAGGATGGAGATCCCACCACCTCTTTGAATCTGTCCCAGTGAAGATTTCATTATCTTATTTTTTGCCTGGTTTCTAATCAGAGTTTTTAAGTTTTGGCTTTGTTCCATTCCTTCTCATCCTTTCATTGTGGATCTCTGAGGAGCCTTTGGTTTAATCTCCCCCAGCCCCCATGGGGTAGTTGGCTACAGCCCTTCCCTGGCCATTCCAGAGCATGGACAGATGCCCAGAGATTGGTGTGGTTACTCAGCAGCTCCTGCATGAAACCCTTTAACAYTGCTGTCAAACAGCAAAATGTATCAAATGTACTGTTTTTCTCTTGTTTTTTGTAGAATGACRTGTGATGTGAGCAGCTAATCAAAGGGGAAACCCTTCCCAAGCCATATTATTTACACCTGTGTATACTTGTTTACATTTTCCACAGTACYTTGATGATAGAATTGTAAATATGTAGTATAAGGAAATAAAAGATTTTTGTACTGAGTGTTTTTAAAGGATGTCACAATTTTAGGTACATGATGAAACACATATTTGAAGTGACTGATGCTGAGCCTGGGCCAATGAATTAGAGGCCCAAGTAGATCTGCTTTGGGAAATATTTCAGCAAACCTTTTTTTCAATCAGAAAATGACAGTTCATACAAACCACTCCATATGCAATAGACTTTTTTTTATTCAAAATGCTTCTTGGCTTTTTTATGTTATTACCTTGGGGAARGAAGTTCACTTCAGTGCCATCAGACAGACCATTCTGATTTGTGGCTCTGCATGACTTCTTGTTCCAAAACRAAGTACAGCCATATAAAGGTAAAAATCAGAATTAAAGATTTCAAAACTGTTGAAAGATGAATTTTGATTTGGGTATTTGGAATGTCTTATCTTGGCTCCTACTTTTTTCATAAGGCAGAGAAAATGTTTACAGGATTTTGTTCTCTAACAGAGCCACAACTTTRCACGATTAATTATTAATTAAGGAGSTTTGCTTGCTTGTGATGTCATTAGTATTTTTTCATTCTGCTCCTTACTACAGTTTAGCACGTTTACCTAATTCTTTGCCTAAAAAGTAGTCTTTATTAAAAAGGATGTAATTTTTTCATGGAACTGACTCAACCTGCTTTTCCAGAGATGAATATTGTGGCAAGTGAATGCAGTTGGTACTAAATTAATACAATTCTGCTTATTTGCTTCATCAGATTCTGGTGAAAGGATGTCAGTCCTGACCTGGGACTTGTTGAAAATGGAAGTGAGAACTCCAGTGGAAGTGGGGTTTGTAGTTAAATTGATGTTCCACCTTCCACTTGGTGCAAGCCTTTGCTGGCTCCCCRTTTCCCAGGGGGCTGAAGTTAATTMCCCATTCTTGCAGAGAGTGCTGCTATCCCTCTGTAACACACTTRCACGTGCAGATAACTCCTTTCAGAAAGACACTGGAATTATTTCAGCTGTGCAGCTCCTCTCTTACCTTGTGCATTCCAGATAATTCCAGTCTGGGTGGAAAGGAGCTGAGTGTGACTCAGTGGACCCAGCAGAATCTCACTCGCTGCGAATTCATGAAACCAGAACATGTTTTAAGTTAGACTTCACTAACACTATCCTCATAGGAAAACAATCAGAATTTTAAAAATTCCCCGCTTCCCTTGCCAAAAATTATTATTCTGCTTTTATCCTTTTTATGTTGAAGAACCATAGCTATTAAAGTTTGCCCAGATTCCTTGCCAACCATATTATTTTGATTGGCTGCAGGTTTCTGTTTGTGTAAGTAATAACCAGCATAGTGTCAGGAGTTGCCAACGGGACAAACATGGAAATAATACCTTTATGTCCTTCCCAGAAGAGGCAAAGACACATTTGGGAGCCATCGTGGCTTCGTAGTGCAGATCAAACAGCGACTCTGTTAGAATTYAGCTTCTTATCACAGCAAAGTAAAGCTTAGGAGCAATCTTTGAGAGAACTGGTGGACCAAGAAACCTCCATCCTCCCATCCTTGTGTTAATTTATTTTATATGTAGGCTAAAAACCTTCTCAGCCACTCATTCCTGAAGGATTTTTTTTGCAGGTTGACCTGTGGCTGGCTGAGCAGCTCCGTGCATGAGCTGCAACTGAGCCCAGTGATGCTTTTGCAAGGTCACAGCTTTAAATTCTGACACTGTGTAAAGCAATTTCCAGCAGTAAACACCAAATCTCAGCCTTGCAGAGCATAAATTGTTAGTTTTGTTCTTTTTACTGTTTTTAATAAGCACTTGCTTAGCAATATTGTGYCTTTGTGAATTTGTAACCCCTCTTCAAGGAATATGTGGGATGTATCTCGAATCTGTGCTGTACTTCCTGTTGTAGATGTGTTGTAGTGAAAGGGTGCTGATTTTTTTTTTTATATAAACATGTCATTAAAACTTGTCCTTGTTTTCCCCTTATTGCTAGACTTGTGTTGTGGATGAAACTTTATTCTGCTGAGCTGATTCACAAAAAGGCTGAAATCACACCTGCTTTTAGTGGTTTGTGTAGAATAAATCATGGCCTGTGCCCAAATGGGTTTGTATATGAGCCCTGACCAGGGCAACCTGTCCACTGACTGAGCCTGACAAACAGACCTATCTGGTCCTCAGACTCCAGAATATTAGAAATATTAAAAAAACTGCATAAATCATGCTGGAAGAGGATTGTTGTGAGGCGTAACATTTCGGAACGCTTGCACATGGAGCACTTTGAAGGCATTTGAAACCACACACCTGCAAGCTCCCACCAGCCTGYTTGGACATTTCCAGAGCCCACAAACAGTCTGGTTCACCTTTTGGTGTTGTCTTCCCACACTGGCAGAGCTGAAGGAGCACATGTGCCTGCCTGGTGCCAAATAATGCAGCGAGTGTGTGCTGGTTAATTGGAAGTAGCAGGCTAAATTGAATTCAAAATTGTAACAAAGGGGGGACGGTGGATTGAGCTGTCGGAGGAAAAGMGGACAGCTCTGGCTGCTTTCTGGGAGAGCAGTTCCACAAGCTTGGATTCCTTTTCAAATTTCAGGGCAAATGTTTTGAATCGAGCTGTGTAATTCTGCAGRGTTCTGTCTTGCGTGATTTACTTCACTTTTCCTGCAGTTTTCAACAAGGAGCAGAATAATTAAGTTCATTTCRTTTGTCATCTTTTTGACATATGTTCTAAAAATAATTCCATAATCCTTGCAGTTTACTCAGTAATTTCTTTATTAGAAGCCATATTTAAACTGTTCAAAGAAGCTGTTGATGTTACTCCTGTTAACCTTTCAGWTTGCTGTTAAAAGCTGATCAAAAACTAGACATGGAGTATTAAACCAGAATATTCTCAACCCAAGCAGAGTTAGCTATKATTTAAACTTTTAAAAGGCCATGTCTCTGCAGCACTTGAAATGTTCATAAATCATGGAATGGTTTGGGTTGGAATGGACCATAAAGACCATTTATTTCCAGCTYGGTGTGGGGCAGCCACAGCTTCTCTGGGCACCTCATGCCAGTGCCTCGCCACCCTCACAGAAAAGATTTTTTTCCTAAAATCTGAGATCCATGGCACCAGAATAAGGGTGACTCTGTGACTGTATCCAGGGAGCACTGCTCCATGAGATGGGCCCTCAGCATCTCCAGAAATTGTTATCCCAATCTGCAGCCAGCACTGCTTATCTCTTGTTTTAGTCAGCACTGGAAGTTCCTGGGGTGCTAATCGAATATTCTGTATGCACGCAATAAAAACAACCATCCAGAGCCCATGCATGGTTTAAAAATGACTTTAAAGTGCTGTATGATAAGGCACTGCTTTGTTGATCYCTTCAAGCATGGTAGTTAAAAAAAACACAACTCAGTTGTGTTGTTTTATATATGAATAAAGATGTCAGCAAGTAGTCATCTAACTGTCCGTGCCATTTGGCAGTATCTAGCTTCCTTCTCAGTAATAGCCCCATAAATCTTTATCTTTTACTAAGCTGATGACAGCAAAACATCTTGAGAAGCTGCATGTGGTGTAGATATTGTAGTTAATGTTTAAATGCTTCATGCCATCATCCTCTGGGTGTTTTTTCCCGTCCAGATGTAACATCCTGGTTTAAGGCGTGGGCTCACTTCTCCCTCTGGTGATTCCAAGAGCTGAATGGTAATTAAAATAATTAATTAATTTAAGGTCTGTTAGCCAAGACCACAGTAGGAGCTGAGATCCACCTGCCCAGGTGACCTCATTGACCTCTTTCTTACCAAATTACAAAATTGGCAGTTTTGCCGATTGCGRCAGGTTCTGTATTTCGAATTTGTCTTTTCTTTCTGCCTGCAAGTCCTTCTTTGTTCATCCAGGGGTTGTCTCAGCTCTGTCCCCTCTTTTGGAGGTGTTTGTGTGGGAGCAGGGCTAAGTGGAGCCACGTTTGGGGTGGAGATGCTCCCTGTGCCCCTGATTCTGCCCCATTCTCATTAGCAAGAACCCAGCCTGTCATTTCTTCATTTTTTTGATAAGTCTGAAAGTGATATAAATTAYTTACAAAATGACTTAATGAAAATTCTCCATAATTTTTGCAGCTGGAGGATCTTTTTTTCAACCAGAAATCCCGTTTTGAATGATTTATTTCTCCTTTATGACCAACATTAAGATTTCTTGCTGTACATCATCATCACAGAGCCATATTAGTTCAAGTAGATATTATGGGGTAATCCCTGCCTGTCCATTTGCTTTCTTCCCTTTTTCGCTGACATTTCAGCCGTGGTAGCTGTTGTGGATCATGGCCTTGCACTACCAGCCACAGGAGAAGGCTGCTCCAAATTAACATTAAATTGAAATCTATGAAATACAAAGCAACAAGTGTAGCAGCACCACATTAAATATGGGGGGAGGGATAAATCCCTGGGTAATGAGGGGTGGGAATGCTGCAACAGCCACGGATGGCATCGCTCTGCTCCAGCCTTTCATGGAGCCCTTCACCCTCTCAAAAATAAGAGGTTTGAACAGGCAGCTTGAAGGGCTGTTAGGGCTGCTCAYGGCCATAGTTAGCGTGTTAAAATACTTTACAAGAACCAGTGAATTTGATCAGAAAATAGTTATTTTTGGCTGCCAATGTGGCAAAACCACTTAAAATACAAACTGAAGAATGTGTTGAAAGGAGTGGGTTTGCCAGTGGAGCTATTGTTGTAGCAAAGCCTCTCCTCTGATCCAACGGGAATCCTCTCCTCGAGTTTTATTGCTGAAAAAGTAAACGTGGATGTCAAGCACCTGGAAATCTTTTAATGCTTTCAAAAGAGCATTAGTGGGGGCTGGGTGGGTGCAGTTTCTTGTTGCAAACTCTTTTGCTGAGGGATGTGTGCTGGGGATTTCCTTCCCCTGGGAAACTTTGAGGGTTGATTTGGTAGTTCAGTGTCACTGGTTTGATAACGTGTTCTCTACAAGGGATATAACAAAACGTGTGATTTGGTTCATCCGTATTTGAATTTGCAGTGGATTTTCTCTTATTTTTGATTTCTAGCTTAAAAAAAATAAAAACCTGGCTTTTTTTTTTTTGCCTTTTTTTAAAAAAATGTGTTAAAAAAAGGTGCTGCTCCTGGATGTGAAGCCCCCCAACCACCACAGAGGGTTCTCTGGAGAGCCAGGGCTGCCTCCCCTGGGAAAAATCCCAAAATGCCTGCAAGCACTTGGAACACAATGATTCCAGCAGGAGAAATCCACACAAGAGAGTTTGAAGGTCCCTCTGGGAAAAAAATGCCATTGCCAACTTGAGCAGGGTGCCTTGTCCAAGTTGCCCTGAAGGACTCTCTGCCAGAAATACCTGTTAACAATAAGCACTCGTTAATGTTTCACAATTGTTTTCCCAAGTCTTTAATTGCTGCACCAGTCTCCAACACTGGTGATATTWAATATACAATTAACTGTGGAAACTCTGGTCTGTCTGCATGTGCCAAGACCAAGACAGAGCTGCACAGGTCTGGGGAGGGTTCTGTGAGCTGAGCATGCACCCAGAAGGGAGGGATTAATGGGCTGTGGTGGGGTCACACTTGGGATCCTTTCTGAAGATGGCCCATAATGAAAAATTAATCATGTCAGTGCCTTCTTAGCATAGTGTTAAAATCTTGTCTTCATTAGACTTGTGAGTCTATGCTTTTTAACCTATT